AAGCCTAAAAGGGATAAGAGAAATGTTGCTTACAAAGTAAAGCAAATCAGATTAAGCTCTGACTATTCAGCAGAAACCATGCAGGCAAGAAGTCAATAGGAGACATATACAAAATCCTAAAAGAAAAAACTGCCAACCAAGAATCGTCCATCCAGCAAAACTGTCAATCAAATACGATGGTGCAATCAAAACATTCCAGGATAAACAGAAGCTAAGAGATTTTGTCAAAGTCAATCCAGCACTTCAAAACAACCTAAAGGGAGTTCTTTGGACTGAAAACCAAGAACAGACAAGAACCATAGATTGACAGGTATGGCAACAACACCTGAAACTCAGACGATGGATAGCAGAGTCCAGTACAGGACAATATTACAACAATGAACTCAAAGAAGCTGGGAGATCAACCGAAGATCAAAATAATAACAATGTCAAAGAAGGGAAATATGTAGGAACAGACACCCAGGTGGTGAGGAGGTCAGGTAGGTTACAGGATACAATAGATGGTCTTAAATGGAGGGAAAAGTTAATAAGACTATAAGGTAACCCCAAAGAAAGTTACTACTTCACAACTTACCATGAAAATGAACTTCCAAGCAGAACATGAAAACTAAGAAGAAACTGACAAGAAATAGCACACAAAACACAAACTCAGCACAAGAAGGCATGCAGAACAAAAGAATGAATAGCACTATCAAACATTAACATATTGGCAGCAGTTAATTCATACTTATTGATAATTACATTGAATGTCAATGGATTGAATGCACCAGTGAAGAGATAAAGATTGGCAGAATGGATAAGAAAACAAGACCCTTCAATATGCAGCCTGCAAGAGACACACCTTATACACAAAGACAAAAACAGACTAAAAGTTAAACAATGGAAAAAAACATACCAAGCTAACTGTACCAATAAACAAGCAGGAGTGGCAATACTAATCTCTGGTAAAGTATACTTTAAGACAAAAACCAGCATAAGAGATAAAGAGGGACACTATTTCATGATCAAAGAGTCAACTGAGCAAGACAACATAACCATAATAAATATCTATGCTTGCAATGAAACAGCACGATATTGAAGCAAACCTTACTAGAATTGAAGAAAGAAATGGATAAATCTACAATTATAGTGGGCGATTTTAATATGCTACTTTCAAAAGGGATAGAACAACCAGAAAGAAACTTGACAAAGTTACAGAGAACTAAACAACACAATGAACCAACTTGACCCCATAGATGTGTACAGAGCATTCAATGCCACAGCAGCACAATATACATTCTTCTCCAGTGCACATGGAACACTCTCGAGAATTGACCATGTGTTAGGTCACAAAGCAAGCCTCCATAAATTTACAAACATCAAAATACTACAAAGCATCTTTTCAGACCACAGTGTTATAAAACTAGAAACCAACAATAAGAAGACCAAGGAAATAAACTCGAATACTTGGAAACTGAATAACACCCTGCTGAAAAGTGACTGGGTACAAGAAGAAATTAAACATGAATTCACAAAGTTCCTAGAAAGCAATGAAAATGAAAACACAACATACCAAAAATTTTGGGACACAGCAAAAGTGGCGCTGAGAGGACATTTTATTCCAAAAAGAGGAAAGAACCAAAATTAACACATTAACACAGCTTCTCCAACAATTAGACCAACAGATAGAACCTACAGTCACCAAAAGAAAAGAAAAAAATAAAGATAAGAGCAGAAATAAGTGAGCTGGTAAACAGGAAAACTATAGAAAGAACAAAAGGACAAGAAGCTGGTTCTTTGAAAGGATTAATAAAATTGACAAACTATTGGCAAAACTAAAGAGTGAGAAGACACAAATAACTCATATTAGAAACCACATGGGTGATGTCACAATGGAACCAAATGAAATCAAAAGGATAATAACAGAATACTAAATATTAATCTGTTGAATTCTTTTCAGGTAGTGTCAATGCCTTTTTTCCCTCAAAAATGTTTTCTGCTTCTGTCTCTTGGTCACTTAGTTGAGCTACTTTGTCTTGTTTCTTTGTGTGAACAGAAATTGTCTGCTGCTTTTGAGACATTGTGATATTGTTGTATCTGTGTTAAATTTATGATTGTATGTTAGTGTATTCTTATTCACTCACCAATTGCCTCCTGGTGGGTGTGATCAGGAGCTTGTGCACTGCTTTCTGTTCACTGTTTGTGCAGTTCAGTTTAGGGTGGATTTGACTGATGGTTGTTGTTGATCCACTGTATAGCGGCTGTGATTAGCTCTTGCCCAATAAGTGGGGTTATAGAGGGTACGGTCATGACTGGGCTGTATGGCTGCAGTTGCTGTCTCTTGTCAAGTGGGGCAAGAAGAGAAAACACACACACAAGAAAAGGAAAACAAAACAGAAGTCTGCAAACAACAGTGAAAAAAAAAATAGTAAAGAAAAAAGCAAGCAACAGCTAGTAAAAGTATACACAAACCAAAGATAGAAAAGAAGGGGAAGGAGGGGAATAAAATAATAAAGAGACAGAAAATGAATAGGAAGAAAAAGACCTAAACACAATTAGGTAAAGGAATGAGTAAAGGGAAAGAGACCAGAGAGTAGTAACAACAAAAATTAAATAAAGAGGGATGGAAAAAAAGAAAGAAGCAGCAGCAGTTTGAAAAGAGAAGCAGGAAAAAAGAAGCAGAAATGAAAGGGGAGATAGAAAGGAGAGAGAGAGATACAAAGGCAAGGGAGAAGGACTACAAAATAAAAACAACGAAAGGAAAAAAACTCAGGGCAAGTGCCAAACCCGAAGAGGAAAGAATTCTGAGGCCTAGTGCTAGCCACGGACTTCACACTGTGGGTGGGTAGAAGATGAGACATTAACACTCAACTCTAGATGGAATTCTGTAGAGCTAGGTGTTGTCTGTTCTGGGCATCCAATCCGGAAGCAGTTCATGCAGACTCCAGAGCACCTGGGGCATCAGGATATTTTCATCCCAGAGAGGATCAAGGATGAGAGGCCCCTCTTGTCCAGGGTTGACCAGAATCAGCTTTGCGGTTCTGAAACAAGCCACACCTCATTCCAGGTGCTGTAGTTGGTGCTGCTAGTTCCTCACACACTTGGATGAGATTTCCACAGCCCTGAGTTCTGGAGCTTCCTTGGGATTGTATGCAGGTAGTCCCAGGGTAGAAGAAGAAAAGAAAATTTTTTGCCTCTCTCTATCCACCAATAAGCAGTATGCCTCTGTGCCACCCACTGCCCTCTTGCCTTCAAAGTGTTCTGTGAAAATTCAAGGTGGCCACACCATGGCTAGCCTGGCCAACTGCTCAGATCACCATTTTATTTTCTGTGTTGTTTTTCTTTTTCTTTATCTCCCCCACGTGTCTGCACAGCTGATTCTCCTAATGAGTGTTAGCCAAGGGCTGGTCAGGGCTGATTCTGCAGGTCTGGAGCACGGCTTGCCCTAGTGGGTTAGTGTGGACAGCTTCTCCCTCCTTTAATTGGGTCCACAGCTGCGGCGCTCTTGTCCATGCTGCTCTGAGCGCTGGGAGAGCAGGAGCTTTCCTGGGGGTGTACACAAGTCAGGGCTGGGCTCACCTCTGGTCACCAGGGGAGTGTGGGGAACAAGAAAAAAAAAAAAAATTACACCTTTGTTTCTGCGAGCCAGAGGTATGTTTCTGCCACACCAATAAATTTTCTTGTCTCTGAAGCTGCTCACAAAAGCTCAAGATGGCTGTGCCTATCTGGTAGCTGGCTCGTATTAGTGGGTACCTTCATGGACTGCTGTTAGGCCTCATGGGAGGCTCAGATGACCCCAGGGTGGTTTGTGCACCTTTGAATTAGTTGGTCCTGGGATCCAAGTTGGGGCAGGGGCTGGGCCAGTGGGTCCTGCTGGCCTGGTCAGGATGGATTGAATGATAAATTTTGGTATTGGGGATTGGAGAAGCTACTCTCCAAAGGGGGGGTCAGACAGTATCAGGTTATGATGGGCTTCAGGGGTTAACCATGATTTTGTAGTTCACTAGATGCAGGCACCTAGGTGACTAGAAAGAGCCCAGATTTGTTATCTGACATATCTAGATTGAAATCCCAGCCCTTCCTGCCTCTGTGATAACGGGCAAAGTAATGAATCCTTTTGAACCTCAGTTTCAACATTTGAAAACATGGGAATAATAATTCTGCCCTCATGTATATTTTGTAAAGATTCAGTGAAATACAGGACCTAGAGTCCTGGTGTGGTGCTGTGGAATAAAGCACTGGACTGCAAGTTTAGTTTGAGCCACAAGGTTTGTGGTTCAGACTCACCAGCTGCTTCTTGGAAACTATACAGTGTTGCTATGAGTCGGAACCAACTTGACAACACTTAACAGCAACAACAGTAGCCGGGGCTTAAGGGCTAGTGAGTATTAGTTCCTTTTATTCTTGGGAAGATGGAACTGGCCCCAGGGATTGGAGGTGGGGCGGGCACTCCTGGGGATGAGGGCAGATTTGTTAGGTGGCCTGGAACTCAGAAGATTAGGGAATGCACGGGGACAGGGTACTGGCATCCTGTCCCTGCAGACAGGTGGTTCAAAGAAGTCAGAACGGGAAGGCTTCCTTCAGGTAGAGAGAAAGGAAGATGTGCAAAATGCTGGGAAGGGAAGATGTGGGGGAAGACTACAGAGAAGCTGGGTGAAAGGGATGGATATCGGTGTGTGGGAGTGCTTGGCTCAGTGGAGACTCGGTGAGTGGTTGCTTTTAGAAAATACGATGACTAGATTTTGTAGTACCCATGGGTAGGAAGTCCTAGATGGACGATGCATGGAGTGAGGAACAGGCATTGATGTAGTTACCAGGCTGAGAGCAGCAGGTGCTGGACTATGTGCTTGGGTTGATAATATTGGGGCCTCAGAGGAGTGTACACATTGAATGTGGAAGCATTGGCTGAGGGCCGAGCCCTCATGGAGGGGCTGGGTGACTCTCCTCACCTGTATAAGCCTTCCATGGTCCGAGCCATGGACCCCCTCTGTCAGGGCCTGAGCAGAGTTCTGTTGTTTCAGGAATTGGTGACCTTCGAGGATGTGGCCGTGTACTTCACCCAGAGCCAATGGACCAGCCTGGAGCCAGCACAGAGGACCCTGTACAGGGAGGTGATGCTGGAGAATTATGCAACTATTACTTCCCTGGGTAAGCCATGTTTTCCAACGGCTCATTTTAAAAGTTTGACATCTTCTTTCATTGTTTTGGGAGTTTTCATGGTCATCTGGTTTGATGACTGCAAAGAATTCCTGCAATCACCAGCCTTGGGATGCTGGCTAGGGACAACCCTGGTTCCTTTAGTTTTTTAACTAGGCTTCCCTTTCCAGCAGTGAGGGAGGTGCAGGGGTGGAGGTGGGAAGTGATAGTCTGGACCCCAAGAGCAAGGACTCTTCTGGTTCCACAGTTGAGCCTTATAGTTTTCTAGAGAATCGGCCATTGTTTCTGTGGAGGAGTTTCTTGAGGGGTGTATGGTTGGTATGAGGGCCACATCTGATCTCTCTAGCCCCACAAGGTGGGAGGAGGAGAATCACCATCAACATCAGCTCAAGGCCGATTTCTGTGAGGTAGAGGTCAGACATGCCTCCACCCTTCAACCGTCTTTTCCAATTCTGACACTAACCATCTTTCCAATGGCAGCATTCTTCTCTGCTGGGCTTCATAATTCACTGCTTCTGACCACACAGATAGTACTCAGAATTATGGGGTGTGTTAACAGTGATTACAATTCAGGATCAGAATTGTGTTCGTAGGCATGGCTCTCTCTGGTCCTCAGACACTCAGCTGATTGGCCCTTTGGCTTCTGCTCTGCTTGAAAGCTCTTTTAGTACTGCTGATAATGCTCCACAGACACTCCGCTCTACTGTACGTAAATATCAGCCTAAAAGTTCTCAGCTCTAGCTCCATGGGTCAGCAAACCTAGCTCTCTTAATTAAGTGCCGGTAGGCACCCCACTTTGCAAATGAACCTCCTGCTTAAAGGTACTCAGCTTTATTGCTCATTGGACCAGGAAGCCTTGTCTTGTGCTCTGGCTCTTGGTTCTGCTGATGCCATGGTTTTCTGTCTCCTGGATCAAGAAATTCACAATGCAGGTATCTCACGGTCCAGAGGATGCACTCCACCCCCTCCCTGGTTCTTCTTTCTTGATGATATTGAGATCCTCTCTACCTGCTTGTAAGGAGCTCTGGTAGTGTAGTGGTTACGAATCGGGCTGTGAACCTTAAGGTCAGCAGTTCGAAACTACCAGCTGTTCTGTGGGAGAAAGATGAGGCTTTCTGCTCCTGTAAAGATTTACAGCCTCGGAAACTCTGTACAGGATCGCTATGAGTCGGTTCCGACTCCACGGCACATAACCACCACCACCTACCTGTTTTTCCAATCACAGTTAACCACTAACAGCCGCTTAGAACTGAATCATACAGTCCTGTCAGTTTACTGTTCCTTTTTCTCTTATCCAGACCCATCAGGAAAAGAGGAAATATACCCAATCTGCATGACTCTGTCCAGTCATTTGGTGGGAGTTACAGAGACTGTGGCTAGGAGAGCCGCATTAAATAATGCTCTGCGCTGGAAAAGGCTTCAAAAAGTTTGTGGAAAACTACAATGAAAAGATACTGGAATTTTTCCATGAACTTTTTGAAGCCCTTTGTATGTCATTCCTAAGGGAGGGAGTTTCCTTTATTCTAAGTTCAGGCCAGTTTGCAAAGTTTTTCTGAGGAGAATCACTGTCTCCCGGCTTCACCTTGGAACTTTGTATGCATCCTTAGAACCCACTGATAGCTCATTTGGTCTGGTCATTCAGTCTTTTCCCCAATTAGCCCATTGGAGGGCAGGCTGACAGAGGTCTCAGAAATAAACCTAGATGTCTGCCGTCAACTTGTTTTTCTTTTTTCCTTCCTGAAGTATCATTTCCAGCCCTCAAACCTGCTCTGATTTCCCAGCTGGAGAGTGGGGAAGCACCATGGGGCCCGGATCCCTGGGAAGCCAAGGTTTTGAGAGACATCTGTTCAAGTGAGTAAGAGAGCCTGTCAGTTTAGTTTCCTGTTTTGCCTTCCTGTCCTAACATGTCGGAAGCATTTGTTCTACTGTAGGGAACAGAGTTCTGGCCTTTTTTTAAGACAGTGCTTTGTGTTCTCTGTCTGTCACTGCATGCCAGCCCTGTGCTGTCTCTGCATCCAAGAGTCTCCTCCCAGTCACAGGAGCAGCTCCTACGTCACTTTTTCTTTCCTCACTTACCAGTAGAAAGATTTAATTTTTTGCCACTTTTTGTTGCAAGTAAGTGTGGATTCAACTGCACATCAAGACATACATGCTTCAGAGGGCTTATTTGTGTCACAGCTATAATTTTTGTTTATAGGACTTCAGCAAAGAAAAGGTTTGTAACTTGCCTTTTGAATATTGAAATCACCTAAAAGTCCCTCCATTAGCTGTATTCTTAGAGTCTACATTGTATTTGTCACATAAGGGTTTGTCGTGGAAAAGGCTTATTGTGGAAAAGGCAAGCAGTACCCTTCTACCAAACACTCACATGTGTTTACTTGCATAAGCATACACACACAGACGACCTAAAATTTCCCTGAATGTTTGGTAACTTGGGTTTTCTTTTCTTTTGGAAGCAAGTTTCCAAGCTTCTATGTGCTGTGATTTTATAAATAGTGGTTCCTTTAGCAGTAATACTACAGCAGGCAACAATTCTGTTCCAGCTGATTTTCTAAAAGGAATCATCATTTATCCCAGAATATTGTGTGGGAAATTTAAAAATAGAATTATTAGAACGTAATTTAGACTTTCAGGTGGTTGCCCAGGTTGCAGATGTGACTTCAAGGTCAATTTTGGTCTAGTTTGTGACTCTCAGCCTGCTAGCCTCCTATAATGCTAGAGCTGCCTGTGTATACTCTCCCCACATCATTGATCTCTTATGCTTTTCCTATGTTGGCTCTCCCCTCTCTCTCTTTTTTAAAACATGTTTTCTATTTCTTGTTTATTGTGTTTATCATTCCTATTCTTTTCTCTTCCCCCCACTTCATACTACTTTTCTTCCTGTTCTTGGAGTTCTCATTTCATCTGCCTTGATTCATTTCCCAACCTTCCTTGTAGGTGGCACTTCTTGGCCATTTTCCAGGTCTGGTTCCATTGTCTTCACTTTTCTGCTGTGTGCCATTATTTCAACTCTGTTTTCCTCCTTTGTGGATACTTGCAGACATTTCAGTGATGTATTTTTACAAATCACATCCTCCAAGAAAAAATTAAGACCTCTGGATCCTATTTTTCTTCCAATTCAGTAACTGGGAACACGTGTGGTTCTTTTTGGTCAGGTGCTGAGTCCTGGATAAAGAAAGAGGAAGCAAATATAAAGCAGGAAATTTCTGAAGCAACTGAGTTCCACAGAATGCCAGTGGAAGGATGCCTCAGAAATGTTTCTCAGCCCTGTGATTTTAAAAGCAAGGCAACAAAGCAAGCTTTCAGTCCAAATCCAAATCTGATACTTCGAGGTGGCATGAAGTTTTATGAATGTAAAGAATGTGGGAAAATCTTCAGATATAACTCAAAACTAATTCGGCATCAGATGAGTCATACTGGAGAAAAGCCCTTCAAATGTAAGGAATGTGGCAAAGCTTTCAAGTCCAGCTATGACTGTATTGTGCATGAGAAAAATCACATTGGAGAAGGGCCTTATGAATGTAAGGTATGCGGCAAAGGTTTAAGTTCCAACACAGCCTTGACTCAACACCAAAGGATCCATACCGGAGAGAAACCCTATGAATGTAAGGAGTGTGGGAAGGCTTTCCGGAGGAGCGCAGCATATCTTCAGCACCAGAGATTACACACCGGGGAGAAACTGTATACATGTAAGGAGTGCTGGAAAGCTTTTGGGTGTCGTTCACTTTTTGTTGTCCATCAGAGAATTCATACTGGGGAGAAACCCTACCAATGTAAGGAGTGTGGCAAGGCATTCACTCAGAAAATAGCCTCTATTCAGCATCAGAGAGTTCACACTGGGGAGAAGCCTTATGAATGTAAGGTGTGTGGGAAAGCCTTCAAATGGTATGGAAGCTTTGTGCAGCATCAGAAGTTGCACCCTGTGGAAAAGAAGCCTGTCAAGGTGCTTGGGCCATCCCTGGTGAGCCCCCAGTGCCCGTCTCCAACCTTATCTCCTGCTCCTGTGCAGAGCGCATGCTCTGTTCCAGCTGTGGCCGTGCCTTCACTGCCCTTTCCACATGCTGTGATCATCCCTACCTCAAGACCTTTGTTCATGCTGCTACCTACATCTGGAGTACCTTCGTCACCTGTTCAAATAGTCTGTGTCTTCCAGGGTCTTAATCCCACTGTGAAGCCTTCCCCTATTATTCTGACGCCTGCTTCTCATCCCCCATGAACTTTGCCTTGGCACTCCTGTGGCTCTTAGTTCCAGCAAGTCTTGGAATCAATTTTGAGTTTTGTATGTATTTCTTCCCCTCCTTATGTGTATTACAATTGTTCTATCATGAATGCCATTGTAATCTGTATACATTTAAAGACTATATAATAAAATCTCTCTGCATCATTCCCTTTTTAGGTCCGAAGAAGCGTGGCCGTGTCTGCAGGAATGCTAGTGTTTGAAGTGCTGGGTGGACGTGGTCAATGTTAAGAAAGTTTGAGAAAGAGGGCATCTCTGTATTAGGTCACTGATTAGAAAGCAGTGAGTGGAACAGAAGGAGGTATGTGGATCTTGTGGGAGGAGAGAGTTGAATGACCTTCCAACAATGGATTTTAGAAATGAGTTCAGGTAGTTTAGTGGCCCAGTGGCTAGTTTGGTGGTGCATTAGCTCAATTGAAGTTGAGTTGCCTTTGCCCTGGATCACTGAGGGTCCCATATATCTATGCAATGATAATGTAAAGTAACCAGTAAACAATAATATGTCTATGTTGATGGCAGTAATTGACATGATTAAGAGGAATCATGTCCATTTGTGACTTTAAACATGAAGGAGTTATCATTTTTCTTTAGTGTGGCTCTTGTTATCAAGATGTCTCTTTAACTTTGCTTCCTAAGCAAATATACACAAAGGCATTCATCTTTGTTTTTATCTGTCGTATACATTTTTCTTGGTAGGCATTCTGTTTTCCTCTTTGCAAGCATTGTTTTCTACTCAGGGTGATTTGTAAATAAGAATTTGTTTTACTGAAGAAATAGGAAGAACAGTGTAAACCCAACATGAGAAAAGTGTGAATAAGTCTCCATAAATTATTCTTTAGCAATAAAGGGGGCTGTGCTGTAGATCAGTGTGGAAGCTTGTTTGGTGGGTGAGTGAAATGGAATTTTGGAGTACTCTTGTTAGGGACCTTAATGAGGAGACTTTACAACTGTGTAAAAACCTCATGAAGTAATTATTGCAAAAATAACTTGAGTAATGCATTGTTAGTATAAATGTAAACTTAAGTCCTTAAGCATTGATGGAAGAGGCCATGCATTTTTTTGTGTGTGTTTCTTTTACCATTGAGATGTTTCTCCATAGCAGTGATCGTGTGCTCTTGATCACGCACTACCTCTTGAAATGGTTGAACATTGGTACAGTGACTCTGTGTATTCCTTCCATCTTCTTTTAATGCTTTCTGTATCATTAAATATTTTGCCCATGGAATCCTTCAATACCACCAGTCAAGGTTTAAATTTTTTCTTCAGTTCCCTCAACTTGAGAAGTACTGAGCGTGTTCTTCCCTTTTGGCTTTCTAACTCCAGATCTTTGTACATTTCATTGTAATACTTGGCTTTGTCTTCTCGAGCTGACCTCTGAAATTTTTTTTTCAGCTCTTGTACCTCCTCATTTCTTCCATTTGCTTTAGCATCTCTACACTGGAGAGCAAGTTTCAGAGTCTCTTCTGATATCCATTTTGATCTTTTCCTTCTTTCTTGTTTTCTTAATGACTTTTTGCTTTCTTCCTGTGTGATGTTCTTGATGTCATCCCACAAGTCTTCTGCTCTTGGTATTTAGTGTCTAATGCATCAAATCTATTCTTCAGATGATTTTTAAATTCAAGGTCATATTTTGCCTCATGTGGACTTGTTTTAATTTTCTTCAGTTTCACCCTGAATTTGAATTTGAGCAACTGATGGTCTGTTTAACAGTCTACCCTTGCCTTGTTTTGGCTGATGATAGCGAACTTTTCCACTGTCTCTTCCCACGGATGTAGTCATTTTGATTTCTGTGTATGCCATCTGGTGATGTCCATGTGAATAGTCGTCTTTTATGTTTAAAATAAATATTTAAAAAAAAAATATTTGCAATGAAGAAGTCATAGGCTCTGCAAAATTCTATCATGTGATCTCCAGCATCATATCTATCACAAGTCCATATTTTCCAACTGCTGATCCTTGCTCTCTGTTTCCAACCTTTGCACTCCAATTGCCATTAATTATCAATACATCTTGATTGTATGTTTGATCAACTTCAGATTGAAGAAGTTGGTAGAATTCTTCAGTATCATCATCACTGGATTTAGTGGTTAGTGCGTAAATTTGAATAATAGTGGTATTAGCTAGTCTTCCTTGTAGGCAAAAGGATATTCTATCACAGCGTTGTATTTCATGACTGATTTTGGTATGTTCTTTTTTATTTTATTTTTTAATTTTTTGTGTGAATTATATGTTAGTTTACATGGGAGAACTTCAGTTTTACATTCATTCCATCATATATCATCTCACTGCCATGGTT